TCAACCTTGGGAACTTTTTAAGACTTGTGGACTTCAACTCTCAGAATTCCTCAGCCAGCAAGTTGAAAGTCCACAAATCATAAAAGGGCCAAGTTTGAAGACCCCTGCATTAGACCAAATCTTATCCGAGATGTAAAACTTTGGTATATATACATGGTTTTACATAAACAGTTTTAAGCTGTAACATAAATACATCTGTTTATATTCTATCTTGCAGTACATACTAATTTCTTCCCAAATCTTCCAATGCATGTTTATGGTTAACTGCAAAACTGTGGACTGTTAGTTAAGTTATTCTAGGATAGCACAGCACAGCACTGCACCAAAAGGAATGAGATTTTGGAGGACTGGATTGTTTATCAGTTCAAAGCAAGAATTCTTGAAATGTTTTCTTTGGAACAAAAAATGCACGTGGATTTATTTTAGTCTAGATCTTGACTGAACATGCATACAAATTCAATCAGGAATATACATTTGCAAATAATATTCAGAGTCAAAATAGGCAAAATTTCTCCGTACAAGGTATTAAAATTTTATAATGGACATAATTTACTGAAAGGCGGGACAAGTATCTATAAAGTATATGGACTGCATAACTGGGTAAGACAGCATCCCCACAGTTAGAGCTCTGGATTTTCAAAAGGACTATTGCATCTGTGACTATTTTCTGACTCTTCTCATTGTAGAATCTTTAAAAATGGGGGTAACTAGATAAGGTTCCTCCCAATGGGCCACTAAGTCGGGTCTGATCATCATGGAATTGCCATAGAGGTCCTCTTTGCCCACTCTTGATAAACACCCTAAACCACTGCTCCAAATTTTTTTAACAAAGAAATAGTGTAAATACTCCAAAACACATCCTGAAAAATAAGTGGAACAATTTAGCCCAAGATACCCCTACCTGTCAATTAGGATTTATTCCCCTGGCTTGGAGGATCCCAAAGGTGCTTTTTCCAAAAGGCAAGCAGAGTTTCTTGGTTTCTTTTTTTTTTTTCCTTTGAAAAAATGTTCCGCTTCTCATCCAAGAAGCTTCTTCAGTTCTAACTGAAGAACTGGAATTAAAACCAAAGAAGCTTCTTGGATGAGAAGCGAAAGTTTTCAAGGGAGAAAGAGAAAAATCCCAAGAAAGTCCAGTTGCTTTTGGAAAAAGCACTTTTGGGATAACCATGACCTGGATGATGGAGAATCACCACAGTCATCCCCCCCCCCCCCCAGGGAAACTGGAGCCAAGGAACCAGCCTTCCTTGCAACTACCATCCTGACTCAATGCTTTGCCACTTCAAGCAGCTGCCTTCCTAGAGAAAAGAAGGACTAGGTGGGGACACAATAGCAGTATTCCAGCATTTGAGAGGTTGAGGGTCGAGTTATTTACCAAAGCAACTGAAGGAAGCAACAAGAAGCAACGGATGGCAACTAATCCAGGAGAGAAGCAACCTCGAACTAAGAAACTTTCCCAACAGTTAGAACAATCAACCAGTGGAACAACCTGCTCTCCAGTTGTGGATGCTCATGACTTATTTTGAAAAGAGACCGGACAGCCACTTGTCTCAAATTGTATAACCTCCCGCTTGAGCAGGGAGTGGGGGCTAGAACAGAGCCCCCCAACCTTTTGGGCACCAGGGACCGATTCCATGGAGAGAACCGGAGAGTGTGTGGTTTTGTGCGTTGTCTGCATCTTGCGGGTGGGGCTTTGCTTGTTTGTGTGGACCAGTTGCTGGTCCAGTACTGGTCCACGGGGGTTGGGGACACCTGGGCTAGAAGACCTCCAAAGGTCCCTTCCACTCTTATTTGATCGACTGCTTGAAGACAGACCAGACGAGGGATGCAGACGAAGCCTTAAGCCACGCAGGGCTATGTCCCCATCTAGGAAGAGACTGAAACAGCCAGCCAACTGCGGGGGGGAGAAGAAGCCCCCCCTCCCCAGGGGAAAAGGCGCATTGCAAGCCCGCAGTGGGAGAGACCAGACGTGCCGCTGCTCCGCAGAAGCTCCGATCCGTCTGGCTGCGATCTGTGCGGGAGGGGGGACAGGAGGGAGGAAACGGGCTGGGCTGGCGATACAAAGAGCATTCGGGACCGCGCGTGCGTCATGCGGCCCCCCTCCCTCCCCCCTTGCGCGCTCAAAGCGCGCTCTCTCTCTCTCTCACGCAGCCGGCGAGCGAGCGCGCGCAAGGCGGAGAGGGAGGGAGGGACGGAGGGCGGGAGAGGAAGAAGCGCGCGAGAGCCGTTGGGCGCGCGCCCCGCGCAGCCGCCGCCGCCGCCCCCCTCCTCCTCCTCTTCCCCTCGCTTCCAATCAGCGCCCGTCATGAGCAAACAAAAAAGCGGCGCTTTGCAGCCCGAGTCGGGCAAAAGGGGTGGGGTTGTACCCATCCTTCCCCGGGGCGGTGGTGGCGCGGCCGAGGGAGGAGGGCAAGGGAGCCAGGAAGGAAAGGAAGCGGCGCGCGGGGCCCGGAGCCAGACGGGCGCTCCCCGGGAAGCCGCGGCGGCGGCGGCGGCGCCGGCTCGACTCCCCTCCCGCTCCCAGGCGGCGGCGGCGCTGCGGGGAGGCTCGGGCGGGTTCCCCCCCCCGCCTGTCTGGGGGAGAGGGATGGGGGCGCAAAGGGGGGGGGAGATAGTTGGGGGGCGGCGCAAAAGGGGGGGTGAGGGGCTTTTCTGGAGCCGGGAGAGGCGGGGCGGCGGCGGCGGCAGTGGGGAAGGTGCCGGCGATGCTTGGGGGAGGGAATGGCTGCGGTCGGGGTCGGCCGCCATTTTAGGCGCCGCCATTTTCTGGCCCGCTCTGAAGCCGCGGCCGGCCAAGGCGGCGGCGGAGGCGCCCCTAACCCCTCCGGGGGCTGCCGGGGGCCCGAGCGACGCCCGGGCTGAGGTAAAAAGGAATCCGGCTTTGGAAGAAGAGAAAGGAGCCGGCCGCGAATGAGGCCCGGAGTAGGCCTCAGGTTGCGGCCTGCGCCGGGGCCTAAGCGGCCTGGCGCCCGTCCCTCCCGCTGCCGCCGCGCCTCTCCGTTTCTCTGAGGCGCTTCCTTCGCTGCCTCGCCCGGTTGCGACCGGCGGCTGGGTGCCCCCATTCCCCCCACCTCCTCACCTTCGCTGGGCGGGCTCGGGCCCGAGCGGGGGTGGAGGCCGGAGGACACTCGGCCGCCTCGGCTGCCAGTTTTCCGGGCCTGGCATTCGAGGTCCGCCAGGTCCGAGGCCTGCACCAATCACAGGCTCGGGCTAGGAAACGGCAGGCGGGCGGGAGCGCGCGCGGCCTTCTCCCTCGTCCGCGCGCGCTCCCTCTTCCCCCCCCTCCCTGTCCCCCCCTGCGCCGTCCTCGCGAACAGCCGCCGCCGACACACGTCACCCAGACGCTTTCTTTCCCCCCCTCCGTTTCCTTTGAGGGAGCATGCGCGCGGAGGCGAGTGAAGCTCGGCGGCGCCCTCATCTTTCCCTGAGTCGAAGGGAGGGGCGGGGGGCAGAAAGGAGAGCGGGCGAACAAAAGCCATCGCGGCGGGAGGAAAAGGAGCGGGAGGGCGACGCACGAGAAACAAAAAGAAGCGGGCGATTCTGCGGGTGTCGTCTCATGCCAAGACCATCCGCGGAGGCGGGAGGGGAGACTTCAGAAATGCGCAGAAAAAATTGTTGCAAAGCTTTCCCCCCCCTCTTTATTAATGGTTATTTTTTTATAAAGGAAGTCGCCAAGTCCAACTTTGAAATTAACCTTTTTTTTTTAATCTTCTCCTAACAAGCTCTGAGCTCTGTCGGATTTCTGTATTGTAGCAATGCAACATACAATAAAGGGCCCGTTTTGTTCTGAGCGTTAATGTTGTTTGTACTGAGCAACGCAAACGTAACGCGTTTGGCTCGGTTTCTTTTGCAAGCATAAAACTCACAACTGCCCTCAAAACGGCCGACATTCTAAACGGACCTTTAAAAAAGAAAGCTTCATCCATTAAGCCACAAATAGTTAAGGTTTACATTCTTCAGCTAAGTGCATTTGTAAGATGAAAGGGGACTGGGCCACATTTTCTAATATTCCCACCATTACATTTGAAGTCTCAGGGTAAGAAAAAAGCATTGTAGGAGCAAACAACAAGCTCCTTGCTCAGGAGTTTACTATTTACTCTTCTATTTACTTAAAATTCTTCGCTTATTTGTCTGTCTGCATTCCAAATTCATGAAGAGCAGGGAGCATCAAGAAGACTTGCAAGTTTTTGACACTGCTGCAAAAGAGCCGATCATCGTGAAAGGCATACTGGGTTTCTGAAACTTTTTGTTAAGCTCTTTGGCATTTTTAGACAATGGAGGAACTCCAAAGAGCTATTGTTTGTATGGGCCAGTGGCGGCGAACCTATGGCACGGGTGCCAGAGGCGGCACTCAGAGCCCTCTCTGTGGGCACACACACCATTGCCCCAGTCCTAGGCCTTCAGCTGGGTTTTATAAAACCTTTTTGCTTTAGGCCTCTGCCGCCGTGTACAAAAAAAAAAAAAAAAAAGGTTCAATCGGTCAAATTCAACTTCTTGCGGGGAAAAAAAAAAGATCTTGCAAAGTTGGAATTGATTGATTGAACTCTTTAGTCCCATCCAGTCTGCTGTTGCCACCACAGCCATGCCCACCCAATGGGCTACACGCACTCAATGGGCCACACCCAGCACCCGACAATGCATAAGTGGGTTTTGGGTTGCAGTTTGGGTACTCTGTCTCTAAAAGGTTCGCCATCACTGGTATGGGCTACATCAATATTTACCCTACCAAAAATGAAAACGATACTCCACAAAGCACAATTGAAGAGATTTTACTGTGGGAATGCAAAACAAAGTCCCTTTTAAGATTAGGATAGTTGGGTGCTGCCCCCAGGTCTGTATCTATTCATCTAGTGGTCATCCTTAGGATACAAGTTGAAATGTGGGACTGCAAAATGAATATTGGTATTGAAGTTATCATGCACCCCAACAACAACCTGAATGGAACTGCCAAAGACTAGTTTGAGGACTACAATTCTGAGGAGTAAAGAGTAAACAGACAAAAGTATTTATCTTGTAGTTTATTACACCGTAAGGCGCTACTTAAGTTTTCTGAAGTTCCTTTTAGTTATATGTATACTGTGGACGGACAAATCTAGAAGGCATGTTAGTAATGAGACCATTCATTGGCTGGGAACTGTTCTCCCCATAGTCTGGAAGAGGAAGCGTTGATGCCTTAGGCTTCTGTGAAGGAAAATTAAGATTAAGTCATTTAAGACTGTTTTCTCAACTATGCAGTCCTTGGGATAGGACATTTGACTTATTTCTCACAATTGAAAAGTCCACAAAAGAAAGGAGAGCAGAGAAAGAGGGCACACCAACCATCTCCAGTTGAGTGTGTTAAAGCAAAGCAGACCTACATTATCCAGGCTACAAACATCTGAACAATCACTAAGTACCATCAAAACTAATTATTTTATACTATCCAGTAGTTGTCTAGACTTTTGCAGCTCAGTAGCGGTAAGCCTAAAGCCTAAATCTATGCAGAGGGGACTGACTTTCAGCAGGGTATTTCCTGGACACTGGCCCCTGAACAGCCCCTGAAAATTTGGGCTTTAGAGCCTGATAAATACACAAAGACCAATAAACTCAGTATGACCCTGGTTTCTTCTTTAGAGTAATGGTGGGACTTAAGAAAGATTGAAATCCTCTGATTCATTAATTGGTAGTATTTTAGTTGGGACAAGTTACATCCTAGAAGGCATGACATAATGGAACATTCTCTCCCTCCCTCCCTCCCTGCACAAAGTCCATTTGTATCCTCTTCAATGTAAATATTGGATACAATCCCTTTAAATCAAGTAACCCGTGATTTGCAGAAAGGCTGATCATGGGAACTCTTTTCCATTTAACTATAAGCAATGCTTGGCTTATTGATGGCAACCTTGTCCAACCCAGTTGGAATGTGACACCTGGGGTCAAATCATGTTACAGTTGGCTAAATAATAATAGTAATAATAATAATAATAATAATAATAATAATAATAATAATAATAATAATATCATAAAGCAAAAACTGGTGGGATCATAAAATAGAGAAAGTCATAGAAAATGATAAAATTAAACTGCTCTGGGACTTCAGAATTCAAACAGACAAGCACCTGCAACATAACACCCCAGACTTAACAATTGTCGATAAGAAAGACAAAAAAGTCTGGATAGTGGACGTGGCAGTGCCTGGAGACAGCAGAACAGAAGAGAAAGAACTGGAGAAGATAACAAAATACAAAGACCTACAAATAGAAAGACTGTGGCAAAAGCAAGCAAGGGTAGTACCAATAGTAATAGGCTACTTGGGTGCAATCCCAAAACAACTGGAGCACCACTTGAACACCATTGGCATTGACAAATTTGCTATTAGTCAATTACAAAAGGCGGCCTTACTAGGAACTGCTTCCATCCTGCGACGATATCTGTAATACCATTAAACATCCACATCTGCCTATCCCAGGTCCTGGGTAAAGACTCAATAGGTAGACAAAATGCCAAATCCAGTCTGAACATCTGGCTGACTGTGCGATGATCCATAATAATAATATAATAAAGTTGGAAGGGACCTTGGAGGTCATCTAGTCCAACCCCCTGCTCAGGCAGGAAACCCTATACCATTTCAGACAAATGGCTGTAACTGGGCAGCCATAGAAACGTTCTAAACAAACAAATTCCATGTTCTTGCCTGAATCCTTATAAGATTCTGGTTATTATTTATATTATTACTAGTGATTATACCTTCAATTTTTAACCCAACTTCCTTCCATAGAGTGCTCATGGACCGCGTGCAAAAACCATTAAATTTTTATGCTGAGGTTTTAGAAACACTTACCTGTTTGGTTCAGTCTGTCTGTCTGCCTATTATTGCCTTTTTTTATTTGATAGTCTAAGTTGGGAGTATTGCTTAAGTACAGGTGTCTTTTGAGAACTGTCTGAATGATTGAGGTGTCTAGACAAGATCTTGTAGAAGCAACGGGATCCAGAAAACCACGGGCAACATTCCGTTTGCACAATGATGAACATTATTTCCTTCCCACCAAAGGTCTCAAAACTATTCCTCTGACAAGGATTTTCAATTTCCTTCATACAAGCAAAGGTGGCTTCCACTGATCTAAAGAACACTCTGAAAAATGGCATTTTTGTGTATAGCCAAAATTTGGACGTACCAAAAGTTGCCTCATAGGCAGAGCTTCAAATGGGTTTTGTTGATCATAATCTGCACTTGGGATTTCATTCATCCAGGGGTTACCCCGACCAGCCTGGGTAGATGGAACGGTTGGAAGAGGTCTCTGGGGTGAATAGCTGTCATGAGAAAAATTGAACACACCATAAAAACATTCCGTAGTCCTGCAAATGCAACTGAGGAGTTGTATTCCTGCAACACTTTAAGCTAAATGTAAACAAACCACATTATGGCTGAATTTACTGTATTGGCCAGGAAATGAAAGCAGACACACAAACAAATAATTTTCCACTGTTACTAATTCCCTCTGCTTATATGAAAAAAAAGAGCTGTTTTTGCATATTGTACATGTAGTGATCACAATGTGGAAGTTACTGTAAGGCTGAATTCCAATAAATATTTTTCTTTGAAGTAACTTTCAAGCAAATTACTGTAGATGGAATAGAATCAGAGAGGAATGTGAAATAACCTCTTTCTGGGTGGGGGCTGAGTGTGTGTATGTGTATCTAAATCTATATAGTGTGTTTATGCTACACATACGCGCACACACAGAGTCCAGATTAAGTCAAGTTGAGTGGATGGTACATTCATACAACCAGAATTGAACTTAAAATTTCTGTTGCCAAGTGAGACAATTGTTAAGTTCATTTTGCCCCATTTTACGACCTTGCCACAGTTGTTCAATGAATCACTGCAGTTGTTAAGTTAGTAACTCGGTTGTTAAGTGAATCGGGCTTCCCCATTGACTTTGCTGTCAGAAGGTCACAAAAGGCGATCACGTGACCCCCCCCAGGACACTGCGGCCGTCATAAATGTGAGTCAGTTGCCAAGCACCGGAGTTTTGATCACGTGACCATGAAGAAGCTGCAATAGTCGTAAGTGTGAAAAACGGTCATAAGTCGCTTTCCCCAGTGCCGTTGTAACTCTGAACGGTCACTAAACAAACTGTCAAGGACTTTAATTAGTGACCGTTCAAAGTTACACGCATTTGATTTACGTTCACCGAAACAAATGCTTAAAATTCGTTGGGACTCCATGAGCTTCGCTTTTTGAGTGTGAAAGAAAGTTAACAACCTGGATTCAAGCCCTGTGATAGAAAAAAAAAATCTTTTATCCCAGGAGATCATACCTCAGTCTTTCAGGAAAGGGGATCTCCTGTTGGTCTTGGATCAAAGGCCTAGGAAATGCCAACATTTGTCTGGGCTGGGCATCCTGTGGGAGCAAAATCAGAAGTGGAAAATAAGCAGATTGCTTTGATTTTGATTGTTGCTTTAAATAGAAAAACACGGACATTCCAAGGTGCAACATTTCTGAAAATGAAACGGCTTCAGAATTATGATGATGGAGGAAAAATAAAACTGGGGAAAAAAAGACGGCCATGCGTCTATCATTAGGGGATCAAAACTGGACACTGCACCTTAGGCTGCCTTCTAAAAGGTTGCAAAGCACTGTTCTTATTGCACAGATAGTATCATCCTATTTTGTTTTCCATATGAGCCATACTTTCTTTCTTTGTTCCTCTCTTTTTAAGGAACACATTGTCCTTTTTTCTTTCATAGGCCAGGATGAGCTAGACTGGGGTGCAAGGGGGTTGGCATTACTTTAGAGATTTATTGTACGTACACATTGAACATAAATTTACGCCATCTTTTTCACATCATTCTGGGAGTGTCGGCTATAGGAATTAATCGCATCTTATATATCGGAGATCTGGTATCAATTTCCATTGGAAAGCAAATAGGATGTTTAAAAAAAAAAGATACAAGATATGTCTCAAAATAACTATCCACTATTTTTGTAGAAGCAAAACAACCCTTTAAAAACATCTTAACTTAAAACAAAATTAAACATAATAAAAAAAAACCAAAGCCATAATAACAACAATGAAATATATTTAAAATATATTTGCTTACCGGCTGTCTTTGGGGTTGAGGTCTGGGTGGGATGACAGGGATTGAGATCCTTGGTTGTTGTACTTGACTTCTGAAAATACATCAAAATATCAGATTTTTTTTTTAAAAAAAGAAATATTAAACGTAAATGTAGCGTACTCCGGATGAGGAGAAAACCTGTGGCTAAGCTAATTTATTTTGTTCAGTCATGTCCAGTTCTTGGAGATTGCCTAGACATGTCCCTGAATTTTTCTTGGCAAGGTTTTTCATAAGAGTTTGCCCTTATCTCCTTCCTAGGGCTAAGAGATAGTGACTGGCCCAGGGTCATCCAACTGGCTTTGTGCCTAAAGTAAAACTAGAACTCACAATCTCCTGGTTTCTAGCCTCATACCTTCACCATTAAACTGTGGTTGGGATCATAGACCATTAAAAATGGATGATCTCAGCCTATTGTAGGGTGATGAACAAACCATAATTAGGCAAACGATGGCTCAGTACCGGTTATGTTATATGAACACCACCTCTGTGCTGCTTTTAAGTTCTCTCTTTATTGAGACGTTAGTGTTACCTATAAATTCATTGGTCAGGGGAGGGATTTGGTGGAAATACATCCTACCTTAATTAGAACAGGTCTTCTCTCTGCCCCAAATCAACTCACCTGCTTTTTTTCGACGGGCTTGTACAGTAGCCAATCCACTGCATTAAGGTGAAGACAACCACAGACAACGTTACTGCAGGAACCGTGATCATCAAAATCAAGTCCAGGGTGCTCCAAAGATAGTTACATTTGGACCCCATGTACCAATAATCTTTCCATTTGTTTCGGTAGGAGGGACATCTTAAAGATAGAAATGGAGGAGACCCAAATTGAGAAGTACCTCTGTATCAGGAAGTTGGGTGCTAATCCACCCAACAACTTTAGGGCTGGATGGCAGAATCAAGAGCTTCCTTGCGTTCTGGAGGAACATCTGCAAGTTATCGGCCTCAAACATTCAGACCAGGTTTGCTTATCAACAAAGGTTCAGTGGACAGCAACAAAGATAATTCAAGAGCTTGAGGACATGCCTACAAGGACAGGCAAACTAAATTTTGGATGTCAGATTAAGAAAAAAAGACTTAGGAGAGAGATGATAGCCATGCTGAAGTACATAAAGAGAAGCTACAGAGAAGATAGTCAAGAACTTTTTTTCCATACTGTGGAAACTAGGCCAGAAATAACAATTGATGAATGGAGGGATAGAGATAGATAGATAGATAGATAGTGCTACCTAGATTAAAAAGTTCATAGTGGAAGTTGTCCCTATGGAGGTTATAAATTCTCCATCTCTGGAGGTTTTTAAGAAGAGGCTGGATTTTGCAAATACAGCCCTCCTCCCCAATTTGCAAAACAAGGAAGTAAACTTACTTGCAATAAGGCACTTTATCTTTGCAACCGCAGGTAATCCCTTCAGGGCAAAAACCAATTGTATCACCTACACAGTTATCAAAGTCTGCAACATGGGTGCAATCAGCTGGAAAACAAGACAAGTGTCACTTCAATCACTGTGTTCACATTAGTCATCACTGGACTTCCAAGACCAAATTTCACTGCCTACGTGGATCTCTCACCAGGTTCATGCATTGTGTTAACCATGATATACTGTAGTTTTGTTGGTTTGGATGAGATACAATCTGTCAGCTCAGCTATTGCCCTTCATAAGCCAGAGTTTTGGCTTAGCAAGGCATGAGAACAGAGCTAGGTATGATTCATTTAATAGCATAGCAAGGCATGTTTAGCAGATTCTTTTTTTAAAAAAACTTTTTTTTCTATTATAAGGAATATTGGACTAGAATGGACTTTTACATGTCAGAACAGCCAAACAAGGCTTACTCAACAAGCTACAGTTAAACAAGCTACGACTTACTGCAACATGTAAACCTGCTCCCTTTTCTATTATATGAGAAGAAACAAAAAACTGCTTATTTACTTTTTTTCCCCTATTTTATCTTCTCTTTTCCCAAATCACCAGCAAGTTACTTTTTCCTGTTTGGGGAAAAAAGGATTGGATTGTGTTTTGTGTGATTAATAGCTGACCATAAGACTTGATAAGGGCATTCATTTAATTTTAAGTTCTTCCATGACAGCAATAATAATTCACTCCTATAACTATGCTTCTGCTCCAGATTGCCAGTGGGTAACAACAGTCACTTTCTGGAAATATCTAAACTCAGCATTCTAAACATTCTAACTGTCTTTATCTACATTCCCATGATTGTAGGACCATAACATGTTTTTGGTCCCTCTCAGCCAAAAGACAGAAGTTGCTTCCCACAGAGAAAGAACTCAACTCTTTTTTTAGTGAGTCAAGAAATTTCTATCCCCCTCCTCTTTCTCAGCAATATTTGGACTTTCAGTCTCAAGTAGAGAATCATGGAGGATTTATAATCTTGATTTTAAACTGGTCCCCCACATCTAAAACATATAAGGAATGGTTGCTGGAAATGGGTATGTCTAGTTTAATGAAGAGAAGGATGAGGGGGGACATGATAGCAGTGTTCCAGTAGCTCAGGGGCTGCCCCAAAGAAGAGGGAGTCAAGTTATTCTCCAAAGCACCTGAAGGCTGGACAAGAAGCAACGGATGGAAACTCATCAAGGAGAGAAGCAACCTAGAACTAAGGAGAAATTTCCTGACAGTTAGAACAATTAACCAGTGGAACAACCTGCCTCCAGAAGCAGTAAATGCTCCAACACTGGAAGTTTTTAAGAAGAGACTGGACATCCATTTGTCCGAAATGATATAGGATTTCCTGCCTGAGCAGGGGGTTGGACTAGATGACCTCCAAGGTCCCTTCAAACTTTATTATTATTATTACTATTACTAAGGTTTTTTTTTGTAAAAAAATAAAAGGTGCCAGAACTCACATACGTTATACAACCCGCTTTGTCTACCCTACAAGGTTCCATCCAAAAAAGGTGCCGGAACTCCGTTCTGGGCGTTCTATGACAAAAAAGCCCTGCTATTACTATTAATATTATTATTATTACTATTATTATTATTACTATTATTATTATTATTATCTGTGTGAAAACAAAGTTATGATAGAGGATAATCAGAATTCTGCGTGATACAATCTTTCATCCTTTGTCTTCTTTCACACTGCATGCTGGCTATTAAATCAACCCCTTTTTAGGTTCACACAATCATCATTCCTTGGCACAATAGGCTAAACTCCAGAGGAACTAACCAGGTTTAGCATGTTAAATCTTTAACTGCACTAGGTAAATATATTGTGCAGGCCCATCCCTTGCGGTCTGTGTTCTTTTGTTTCCAACGGATGCATATAAGATTGCGGATTTTAATCTTAGCCCTTACTACATCCACTTCTTTAAAAAAAAGTCAAGTTCCAAAGGATTCCACTTGATTCTGATATCTGGAGGATCGAGTTAACCAGAAGTCAGCTAAAAAAGATCCCAAAGGTTTTCTTACGATTTGCAGCTTGAGTGGTCAGACAAGTGATGGTTAACAGGAGTAGGAGCAGGTGAAGGCTGGATGCCCACATCATGGAATTCCTTCAAAAAAGAGAGATTTGATCCTTTTCCAGCTTTCTGAAGTTTCCATTCCAATCTGAGTAATTTGGATTTACATTAAAGCAAAGGTCATGGATTTTGAACTTGCTTTACAGCATCACTTCTGGCTTTTAATTAACTTTTATAAAGATAAGTCTTCTTGGATTGGTTGTAAGACTAATATTCATGTAAATAAATGACTAGAAATGGGATCATAGCGTTTCCTAAATATATTACATATAGATTATGATAATGTCCATGAAAAGCAGATTACCAGAGTACCCTGGCAAGTAGTGATAGCCTTATTAATGAAACATAGGGCACATTAAGGATAGAAAATGGTGGATTCTCTTGGTTTTGTTTTTCTCCTTTTCTGTGACACATCCTCAACCAGCAGGAAACAATCCTCTACAGGTGGTCCTTGAGTTACAATCACCACTGAGTCCCAAAGTTCTGTTGCTAAGTGAGACATTTGTTAAGTGAGATGATTAGGGGACTGGAGGCTAAAACATATAAGGAACAGTTGCTGGAATTGGGTATGTCTAGTTTAACGAAGAGAAGGACGAGGGGCGACATGAGAGCAGTCTTCCAATATCTCAGGGGCTGCCCCAAAAAAGAGGGGATCAAGCTATTCTCCAAAGCGCCTGAAGGCAGAACAAGAAGCAACGGATGGAAACTCATCAAGGAGAGAAGCAACATAGAACTAAGGAGAAACTTCCTGACAGTTAGAACAATTAACCAGTGGAACAACCTGCCTCCAGGAGCGGAGAATGCTCCAACACTGGAAGTTTTTAAGAAGAGACTGGACAGCCATTTGTCTGAAATGATATAGAGTTTCCTGCCTGAGCAGGGGGTTGGACTAGATGACTTTCCAACTCTTTTAGTCTGTTAAATTAAGTTCCAAATGGCTCTCTCTACATAGAAGATAAAATCCCAAACTGAAATTATAAACTATCCCATCAAGGCTGAAGAATTTAACAAAAATGGCATTCACATATCAAACATTTATATAAATATATAAAATCGCTTTTATTGTTTCTCCTGACCGATGAATTGAATTCATTGTGGACTGAATGCAATTTAGATAAGGATCTTTTTAAAACAAGTATGTCAGCAGGAGGATTATTGATCCTAAGTATGATTATACAGAACTACTTCCTTCTCTATAAGGGCAATGTTCTAAAGTTTCCCTTATTAAAAACAGAATCACATGGCAGTTGAAAGGAGTTTTCAGATATCTATTAGACAAATTCAACACATCTTCAATCTCTGTGGCATTTAATTCCCCTTCAAAATTAAATGCCACAGAGATTGAAAATGTGTTGAATTTAGTCCTTTGGAATCCTCTTACCTATTCAAAAGCTGGGTCACCTGACCTGTTTATCTAGAGCTCATCATGCAAAAGGGAACTGGAAAATACCCTGAATAAAAACAGCAGTTCAATTGTGCTATGTATGATTTTGTTTCCTAAAGTCTTATCTTTGGGTACAGTGTCCAAAGCTGGCCATGATGGTGACTCCTCCATGGAAATGTTGGTGGGAAGTGAGTTTGAAAAACATGTCTTGTGATGCATGCATTTGACAGACTCTTTGAATGAAGACAATGTATGGATTTGTTTGTCCCTGCCTTGCTAGTGTGAGACTTCAGCTTATTATACATACCCAACTGTGTCTTATACTGGTTATATAAATCAAGGATAAATGCAAGATTATTATTACAGTTGAAACTCAAATACTTACAGTTGAAACTCAAATACCACCTAATGAGAAGGAAGGACTCACTGGAGAAGAGCCTAATGCTGGGAAAGATGGAGGGCAATGGAAGAAGGGGACGACAGAGAATGAGGTGGCTGGATGGAGTCACTGAAGCAGTAGGCGTGAGCTTAAAGGGACTCCAGAAGATGGTAGAGGACAGGAAGACCTGGAGGAACGTTGTCCATGGGGTCGCGATAAGTCGGACACGACTTCGCAATTAACAACAATAAATTATTACAGTTTCTTTTTCTCCAGCATTGAGTGAAGACCTGTTCCAAGAAGTATCGTACTTTCTGGTGTATAAGATGACTTTTGAGAGCGTTGAAATCGGCGCCGAAGTCGGGGGTCGTCTTATACGCCGAGTCGTCTTATACGTCGGAAATAATGGTAGTTTCCGGTGTATAAGATGACTTTCTAGGCTTGCGACTTGGCATCGAAGTTGGGGGTCGTCTTATACGCGGGAATATACGGTAGGTGGCTTTCCTGAGCATTTTTCCTATCCTCCTTGTTGGGGGCATCCATCAACCTGCATACTTCTTAGGAGAGGAGAAAAAACCCTAATAAGTCCATTCATAAATTCCCATTTGAGATTTCAAAGATTGAGAAGTAGAATCAGAGTGGGAGATCTACCTTGAGATCATCCCTCCCCACTTCACCTTGCCTTGATCATTGTTTGCAGGGAAGAAGATGAGCAGAGATGAGATATTGTGATGCCGGTCCCATTGTGACTCTTTGCATGACCAGGGCCTAGTTGGGTGACCCCTGAAGTGAAGCACAAGTTGGGATGAAAGCTAGCCTGAAACAGAGGCCACAATTCGAATCCCCACCTTTGTAAACAGACAGGAGAAAAGAGAACGTGGGGAAGGGTGGTGGGGAAGGAGGAAGACCGTCTTTTTTTTTAACTTCCTCTTTGTCTTCCTTTTCTTTTTCTTGCCTTGTCCAACCCTCACTCCCTGAGATGGTGAATGAAGGAGCCCCAGCAGAGGCTCAGCAGCGCTTAAGCCCCTTTGTGGGAAGCGAACAGCCACTCTGCTGCTTCAAACTCTCACTATGGAAGGCAACAGCAACCCCATGAATCGCTTCCGGGTGCGACCAGCCGAGCCGCGGGACTGTTCTCATATCATGCGACTCATTAGAGTAAGAGGAGAGGAGAAGAGAGGAGAGATGGGCTTGCGGGGGGTCTAGCCAGTGGTGGGATTCAAATATGGGAACAACTGGTTCTTTGTGTGGAGGCCGCTTCCGGAAGTCCGTCCTGGGCCTGGGAGACAAAAAATTAGCCACCGGTTCTGTTGGAGTGTTGTGAACCGGCTGAATCCCACCACTGGGTCTAGCCCGGGGTTCCCAACCTATGGTCTATGGCCCGGGACCAGGCCGTGGGCTCTTGGCCAGCGGGCTGCGGAATTAGCTGCCGTGGGTGCGTATTTCCCCACTTGTGCTAGCACCTGCGGCCCTGTTTGCGCATGCATGTGGGCGTGAATGGAAATGCTAGCACAGAGCAGTTGTCTGCAGCCCGTTTGTGCATGCGCTGCTAGCCCGGTTTGCGTGGCCCATTTGCGCATGTGCAAACGGGCCGCTAGCTGCCATGGAGGATGCCTGGCCATTCATGCACGTGCATGGCACCAGCGCATGCCACAAGCAGGAATGGGGCTGCTAGTGCCGCACCAGTATGCATGGCCCTGTGCGCATGCACGCGCACACACACACACATTTTGAAGCTGCTCTCCTTCACTCCGGTCCTTGAGCCCGGAATGGTTGGAGACCTCTGGTTTAGCCTGTCAACTATTAAGAAGTCTGAACAAATAACATTTTTTTTTTTATTCCAGTGACATTCTGGTTTCTTCTCTTGGCAGGAACTGGCTGCTTATGAAAACATGCCTGAAGCAGTAAAAATAACAGAAATAGGTAAAAACAGCAGCTTTGAGGGTTTTCCATGTTGTTGCCCTCGACTTACAGCGTTTCATTTTTAAGAAGAGACTGGACAGCCACTTGTCTAAATGTATAGGGTCTCCTACTTGAGCAGGGGGTTGGACTAGAAGACCTCCAAGGTCCCTTCCAGCTCTGTTCTGATTGGTTGATTGTTTAGTGACCATTCAAAGTTGCAACGGCACCTGAAATAAAGGGACGTATGGCCATTTTTCACACTTACGACCATTGCAGCATCCCCATGGTCATGTGATCAAAATTCAGATGCTTAGCAACCGTTTCATATTTATGACGGTTGCTGTGTCCCAAGGTCACGTGATCCCCTTTTGTGATTTTCTGACTAGCAAAGTCAATGGGAAGCCAAATTCAATTGACAATCGAACTTAACAACTGCAGCGTATCAACGCTGCTAACATTGGACGTTCTTGCTTTGACAACAGATGGAAATACAGCCATTTTCTCTATTGCTTTTAGAATTAGTGGCTGTTGGGAGGGGGGATAGGGATGATAGTCCAGCTAGTCATAACAATAATAACTTAATCGTGGGAACCCAAGGACATTGGGCACAGAGCTGATAGTGTTTGGGCGGGCTGGAGAGCTGAGGGCTTCAGGCTAATTGGGGAATGTGATTTATGACTGTTTATTGGAGGAGGGAATTGCACTTTGTTACTTTGCATCCAGGAGAGGGGAATTTAGTTTCTGGGTTCAAGTATGTGGTGCCGATATTTTGTTTCTCGAATAAAAGATTCTTTAAGGTAAACAATGCCTCAAAGTTCTTTTGAAGAGTTTCATCTATCGGAACCATGACACAGCGGTTAGACTTAACTGCAGTGGCAAGAAAAGCCGTAAAACGGGGCACAATTCGTTTAACGCTTGTCCCGCTTAGCAACGGAAATCTGGGGCTCAGTTGTGATTGTACATCGAGGACAAGCTTTATTTTGTGCACACTGAAAAAGTTCACCATCAGCTGAAAGAAAAGGAAGCTTGTGCCTCCCCCCTCCTCTTCTGGAAACCTCTCCCTTCCCCCCTTTCCCATCCTCCAAAGCACTTCCACTCACTTCCCCCCCACACTTTTTTTTGTTTTTTGTTTTGAACAATTTGACTACAGTATGTGGCATGTTGGAAGTGCTCTCAGGCTGGCATCTTAATCATCCCGAATTTCTCTGGGCCCTGGCGGAGAGAGACACGGAAACGGTTGGGGGCAAAACTGGGCTGCTTCTGCAGGCTGCCTGGGGTCTTGGAAAGATGGAAAGGCAGAGATGGGGCCATTTGTTCCTTGGGAAAAGGGGAAGTAGGATGGGGAACAAGGAGGAAAAGGGACTGGAGTGAGTGTGTGTGTATGTGTAAGAGGGTGGGAGTAAACTCTTCCAAGTTAGGCAGGCATCTATCATCCATCTATCCACCCACCTACTATTCTATCTATTTGTATCCAATCTATATGTAATTATCATCTCTATCAACTCTAGTGTCTCTTTATATATCTCTATCATCCATCTATCCATCCATCCATCCATCCTCTGGGTAATCTATCTCTATCATCCATCTCTCTGTCTCATCTATCACTTCTATTTCTATCCTATCTATATCTGATTATCTTCTTCCTATTTCTATCATTTTTCTCTGCTCCTGTCTCTTCCCCCCTGCCCCCCCCGGCTATGAAGCTGACCTTATCTCCAGATCTACCTTTGATGGCCCAGTGGTGGTCCTCTTTTTTGTGATTTTCATTTAGTATTTTTCACCCTTCATTCAATGGCTTGAATATTTTTCAGATTTACTTCAAGATGGTTTTGGAAGTCGTCCCTTCTTCCAGTGTTTAGTAGCAGAGGTATCATCAGAAAACGTAATGCTAGGTAAGCCAAAAATGAGCCTTAACTACCGTTATCTTTGCAGGATGGAAAGTACCTATTGATGGCTGTAGACAGAGTATCCCAGAAATTCAACGGTCTTCTCCCCCACTGGACATTTTTAAAGAAGAAACTGGACAACCATTTGTCTCAGATGGTACAGGGTTTCTTGCCCGAGCAGGGGGTTGGACTAGATGACCTCCAAGGTCCCTTCCAAATCTGTTATTCCTTGTCTTACTCCAAAAACGTAACTAAGGAGGACCAAGGATATAAGAGACTTTAAAAAATGGGTTAAGCAAAAAGATAATTTCTCCACAGGCTCAAGACACATTTTACTTCAAAGTCACCATCTCGCCTACAATCAAAAGAATCATTTGCATGTAACATTTACTGTGCTACTTAGCATTCCTAACAAAATTCAGACTAAGGTCACCATTGCCTGGATTTCTTAGACACCTAAAAGTAATATATCAATCGGGAAATTACCACATTTTGCCTGGGAGATGGCTGGTCTCACAAGGGTTTTGGTGAACTTATTTATTAAATTTTTATGCTACCCATTTCCCTCCCCCCCCCAATACCTGTACTTATGCTAGATGGCGAATATCTGTAGGACGAGGGCGAAGGTTCATCCTCTGAGCTTGTGAGTTGGTTTCCAAATGTTTCATTACATCTTCAGGTGACATTTCCAGCCGAGGCTTCCCTTTTTCATTTTGGGTACATAATTCCTTAAAGTGTGCTTCTACTTTTTTTTTACCCCACAGATGCAGGTATTGTAGCTTTTGCTATGTATTACTTTACATACGACCCTTGGATTGGCAAGCTGTTATACTTAGAAGACTTCTATGTTATGGAACAATATAGAGGTAACTTAACAACCCTGTTTCCTTGTTGCTCATTTCTAATACAGCCAGAAAAAGGAAGAACAACCAGGTGGAATTAGGACCTTGTGGCAGGACTGGAGAATAGTCAGGTTTTGATCAACATTCATGTTCCCGCCAGGTGTTTATTATATCCAGAATTCTCTTAGCTAGAAGGGTAGTATATAAAGTCAGTGATGATGAACCTTTTAGAGACCGAGGGCCCAAACTGCAACCCAGTGGGTGGGTGTGGCCCATTGGGTGGGCATGGCTGCGGTAGTAATGGCAGACTGGGTGGGATTAAAAAGTTCAATCAATCAATTCCAACTTTGCAAGATTTTTTTTTCCCACGAGAAGTTGAAATTGACTGATTGATTGAACCTTTTTTTTTTTGCACATGGTGGCGGAGGCCTAAAGCAAAAAGGTTTTATAAAACCCAGCTGAAGGCCTAGGACTGGGGCGACGGCGCATGTGCCCACAGAGAAGGCTCTGAGTGCCACCTCTGGCACCCGTGCCATAGGTTCACCACCACTGATATAAGTGGTCTTTAACTTACAACAGTTTAGCTACAACACACTGAAAAAAAAAAGACTTATGACCGTTTTTCACACTTACAACCATTGTAGCATTTCCCCCCCCCCCCGGGTCAGATGCTTGGCAGCTGACTCATATTTACGACGGTTGCCATATCCCACGGTCACGTGATCTCCTTTTGCAACCTCCTGACAAGCCAGGTCAATGGGGAAGCCAGATTCACTTCACAATCGTGTTACTAAAATAATAATAATAATAATGCAGCTATTCCCTTCGCAACCGTGGTAAGAAAAGATTGTAAAATGAGGCAAAACTCACTTAACAAATGCCTCACTTAGCAACAGACATTTTGGGCTCAATTGCAGTCCTAGGTTGAGGATTACCTGTATATATAAAATAGGACTCCTGACAAGCCCATAATTGAGAAAGGATCCCAGAAGATAGAAAGGAGAAGAACTAAGAGATCATCTTGCCCTGCCTCTCCGCTTTATTTTGAAAGTTAAAATAGAATAGAGCTGGAAGGGACCTTGGAGGTGTTCTAGTCCAGCCCCCTGCTCGAGCAAGAGAACCTATACCATCTCAGACTAGTGACTGTGTAGACTCTTCTTGAAAACCTCCAGTGATGGAGCGCCCACGATTTCTGGTGGCAAGCTGTTCCACTGGTTAATTGTCTTCACTGTCAGGAAGTTTCTCTTTAATTCCAGGTTGCTTCTCTCTTCGGTCAGTTTCCAACCATTGTTTCTCATTCTTCCCTCTAGTGCTTATTTGCATTTATTTATTATTTTTACAAATAAAGTGGCAAACCTACCCAACGCCACCTACTTCCTTCTCTTTTCCCGAACACCATCACCCTGTGAGGTGGGTCGGTCAGGCTGAGAATGAAGAACTGGCCCAAAATCACCCAGCTGGCTTTCATGGCTAAGGCGGAACTCGAACTCACAGCTTCTTGCTTTCTAACCTGGTTGCTTAATCGCTGGATTAAACTGCCCCTCTGCTGGGGGATGAATAACTTCTAAGCGACCTATCAGAATTGCAGAGGTAGTGATATTCCAGGAAATTTGGTTGCTTGCATCCAATAAACTAACATCACGAGTTGTTATCTGGGGTTATGGGTTCCGAGCATATTGTACAATCCGAGTTCTTATCGATTTTGTGAATCCAAGAGCGTGTTACTATCCAATACAGCAGTGTTTCTCAAGCTCAGCATCTTGAGGTCTGCCTATCTTCAAGCTGAGAAACACGGCAACATAAATTTGTTGTGTAAATGCAGCTGCCCTGATGGTGGATTGTTGCCACCCTGATAGATGCAGCCAGTTAGATCTGAAACAAAAACCAGCTAAATATCTTTTTATAGAGGTTGGTAGAATAAAGCCTTTGCTTCCTGTACATATAATTCTATGGGTTAGAACAAAATAGTGGAAAATTTCCAGTTCAGACAACTGAGTTTCTTAACTGTGTTTTGGCAGGCTGGGGAATTGGATCAGAACTTTTAAAAAATTTAAGTCAGGTAAGTAACCATTTAACACTTTTAAGTTATATTTTACATGCGATGGTCATCATTTTCATTTGAAAACTCTAATTATGGCCAAAGAGCTAGCAAAACAGTAAAAAAAATGAGTTACAGCAACCTACTCGAGTTGGTGGCTAAAATTTCCATCATTCCTCAATCCTAATGGCCATTTCTAGGATAGGACATTAAATTTAGAGGACCATCAGTGGCTGCGTTCTTTAAGGCCACAAAAGAAAGGGTCCACGGGATCAGGGCTATCTGTAGGATCAAAAAAGTCAAGATGACAATGGAGTCCACCATCTTAAATTTCTTGACCTCTCTCATAAGTTGAGTTTATTTGCTAAAAACTGCTTATGAATTCTTAGATTGCAAAGGGAATGTTTCATAGTTGACTGTTCCTTTACAATTTACAACTTTCTATGTGCAAGATTGCTACTGTCAGAGAAAAACAGATGTGGTTCAGTTGCACCTACCCATGACCAACTGACACCACCACACAAGATCTATATAAACCAGGGGCCTTCAAACTTGGCCCTTTTATGACCTGTGGACTTTAACTCCCAGAATTCCTCAGCCAGGAATGCTGGCTGAGGAATTCTGGGAGTTGAAGTCCACAAGTCACTAAAGGGCCAAGTTTGAAGACCCCCCCTGATTTTCACCTTTGCGCTCAAATGCAATCCCTCTGTGCTTCTGCTTGAACAGATTGCTCTCGATTCCAACTGTAGCTGCATGCACTTTCTCGTTGTCGTTTGGAATAAGCCGTCGATCGAGTACTACATGAGGCACGGGGCATCCGATCTGTCCACCGAAGAGGGATGGCACCTCTTCCGATTTGATAAAGAGCATCTCGTCCGAATGGCAACCGGACAATAGCAAGGAAGTCTCTGTCCGAGGCTGGCGTTCCATCGGCTCCTCAGGAAATCTCTAGCTAAAATTGAGGCTCTAAAGCAGGCAAATACTAGCCACAAGAAATTAAAAAGAAGTTTTATGACTGGCAGTAGTCGCTCAAGATGCGATTGGATTTTATTTATTTATATTTATTTATTTATGAGACTTGTATACCGCTTTAAGTGCAAGCACTCTCTAAGCGGTTTCTCCCGCGTAAAATTGGAAGTGTCTTCCTCATTTATTTATTTATTTATGAGACTTATATACCGCTTTAAGTGCAAACACTCTCTAAGCGGTGTACACCAGGAAGCAATGTACGTATATATATATTTACATTGCCCCCAACAATCTGGGTCCTTATTTATTTATGAGACTTATATACCGCTTTAAGTGCAAACACTCTCTAAGCGGTGTACACCAGTAAGCAATGTATATATATATATTTACATCGCCCCCAACAATCTGGGTCCTCATTTTACCTACCCCGGAAGGATGGAAGGCTGAGTCAACCTTGAGCCAGTGAGATTTGAACCGCTGACCTGCTGAACACAGTCAGCTAAAGTGGCCTGCAGTACTGCACTCTAACTGCTGCGCCACCTCGGCTCTTAATTCTGGTGTTTTCCCATTGGCAAGCTATGCTGAATGTTTGGTTGATAAGTACGTACATCAGCACATTAGACGGGCTCTCTTGGTTGTTCAGGGCTCCTTAACCAAAGTCAGAGGTAGATCAAGATCTGCACTTGAAACCAAGGTTTCTATGGGTTAGAGATGTTGGCTCTTTCTAAAGCCTCACAGTATCAAATGAAAAGCCGTGTGTGAATCGGAGGTGGAGTGGAAATGCACAAGTGTTTCCCTGCCTGTCTAGCTTAATCTGTCAGGCCAACCCAACCGCCCTCATTAAGACATTCCATGGATTGTTAAAATGGTTAGATTATTTGAGCAAGTGGAAGTAGGACAAGTATTCTGAGCCATGCATATGATTGCACATCTTTGTAAAGGATGTGCAATCATATGCATGGGAAACCTAGCGCTGTTCTTATACTCATTAAAGCCAGGCACACAAAATTATATCATTTATATTTGATGGACTGAAAGTTGCACAATCAATTCTACAGACCTCCACATCCTTCTGGTCCTCAGACAGCAGAGGTTTTTGAATAGAAAGAAATAGATAGAAAGAAACGCAAAGCAAAATGTGGTTTAAATATGTTATTATTGCAAGCTTTTGAATAGAAGCAGCACGGTATCCTGTGTTATTTACATTATTTCACTAATTTGGCAACAAGGACCACTTGAGAAGCTTCTTGCTTTTTACACCCAGAGACCAATTATACTTTCAACCAGTTGAAAATCCGAAGTGGCACTAATGAGTAAAAAAAAGATTTAAGAATTGCACGGGAAAATTGGCAAGAGAACAAGAGTTAAGATGCAACCTGACTCCGTTATCACCATATAGACCTGTGAGCAAATTGCATAGGGCTTCCACCTGTTTTTAAAGTCCCATGAGGAAAACTGGAGGGTATTAACTTCTCTTACTATACAGATCTGCATCTTCTGGGCTGGCCTGTCCGTAGTCCATGAGGCTTGCATCTGCTTTAAACGTGGGTGCCTTCAATGCATCTGCCAAATAGACACCAGGATGTTAGGATAGGCATCTCTGGAACGAGGGAGAGGGCTGCTAAGGATTATGAGTTATCTATTTCCACGTAATCCTCCATTTACGACCATTTGAAGTTTACAATGGCACTGAATAAAGGGCCTTATGACTGATCCTCACACCTATGACCATCATAGCTATCTCCACAGTCATGGGATGAAAACTCAGATGGGTGGCAACCATCATGTATTTTATACGACGGTCGCAGCATCCTGATCGCCATCTGCGACTTTCCCATCTGGCTTCTCACAAGCAAAGTCGATGGGAGAAGCCAGCTTTGCTTACCAGCTCTGTGATTCCCTTAACAAATGCAGTGATTCGCTTAACGACCGAAGGGATCGTGACTCACTTAATAAGCACGACACGGAAATTCTGGTCCCAACTCAAGGACGACCTGTGTTCGTTCATTCCCTTCGATTTGTACTGGTAGACAGACACCATTTTAATTTCTCACCACGTCTCGTCTCTTGTGGGGAAGAGTGTGAAACAGCCCGTGCTAATCAGTTGTTTTCCAAAGGTGTTTAACGACTTCCCCCACCCAAAAGCTGTGTGAAAAGTCATCCCATTTGGGAATTACAGATCCAGAGCTGGGAAAGCCCGTGAGGGCAGTTAGAACCTCTCACCTGTTCTGACATTTGGCATCTTCATTGCACCCATCAAAGTCTCAAAATCTTTCTGGGCGTCTGACCTCTCTTTATGGGTTGGTTCCTCTGAGGTTTCTGTCTGGTCCTTTGGTTCTACAGAGGCCTCCTGTGCTTTTGGGAGGCTATGATCGACTCGTGAGGCTTCCTGTACCTGAAAAAGAGGCATAATTATGGAATATCCAGTAAGATACATTGGCCGGGCAGTCTATTCTAACTAAACAATGTGACTTCCCAAAAAACCGGAGTGATTTTAATAAAAGCATTGGCCAAAACATTTCTGCTTTATCTTTAGCGCAGAATCCTTATTAGAAGTCATCAAACGCCAGTAAGAAAAAAGATACCTTTTAGAAAATAGAACAAGATTACATTCAAATAGATAAAATGTGTATTTTGGATATTACAGTTTGCTATGAAGCAAGATAAGGGAAATCTTGGTTACCCAAAGTCTGAAAATTATGGATATCAAAGGTTAAATTGGAATATTGATGAGAAATTAAAAATTATGTAAAAATTAATAACAGGATATGGATTGTTTATGAAGATTGAATGTGATTAAGAGATGTATAAGCTAAAAATGTATGGATAAATGTAATAATGATGTTTTTATTGAGATGGTATAATTAGAAATGTACTAGCTTGAATACGAGACAGTCAATGTTAAGGGAAAAAGAAAAGAAATATCTGATGTTGTAACCTGAGATTTGCACTAAAGATTTTGTTATTGAACTATTGATTAACCCAGTCACCACATTGCTTTTTAAATACTCAAATGTAAAATTGGAAAATTAATAAAATATTATTTAAAAAAATGCCAGTAAGAAAAAGACTTGGGCCAGATTTTATTTTATTTTTATACTGTATGTGTGTGTGTGTGTGTGTGTGTGGTGCGCGCGCGCGTGTATACATACAACCAAACAAACCACCAAATTCAGAAGCATCAAGGACTCCATGTATAGATAACTAACATTAAATTCCACCTTAGGGCCTCTTTATAATGGGCAATGTAGAGATGCCGTAGATTTTACCATTTAATCCGACGCAAAATGTTGGCATTTTAAAACATTTATCAAAACTTTTGCTATTTAAAATGCTTCTTGGAAAAGGACGTACCTGAGTATCTTTCTCCTGGGCAACTGGAACTTCTGTGGAAGATTTTTTGGTCCAGAGTGATCCTACAACTGTATACATTTTATGGCTTGCGGCGTAAACTTTGCTACCTGTAACCTGGTTTAACGTGAAATAGGTTATTGGACTGAGCAACAGACACAAGGTGGTGATCTTACTTTTTTTTTTTTTATGAATAGGATAATTCAGAGAATGGAAGGAAAAAAAACAACAACACCCTAATTCTGAATAACGATCTTTTGGAAATTTGTAACCCGGAGTTTAAAAATATCAACTAGCAGCAACATTCTTAAAGTGAAAGAAAAAGTTTATTTTTTTAAAAAAGCACCTAAATAAGAAGCTTAAAAGGAGATTACCTTTGCAACAATCACCGACTGTGCTGGATAGCAAAGAGCTATACCTAGTGAGCCCAGGCACACGGGATAAGCAATTTTCTTGAATCTAGATCCTGCAAGAAACAAGTCACAAGTGAGAATAAAGAGCACCACTAATTGCAACATGAAATTTCAACACTTCTGTTCTCATAAATCGCTTAGGTCATTACATAATTGAACTGCTTTCCTAGAGTACATTGAACCAAGTATTGGTCTAGATTTGCACATCAGGCTCAACCACCCAAAACTAACCAAGTCAACAGTTTTGGTCACCACGATGTAAAAAAGATGTTGAAACTCTAGAAAGAGTGCAGAGAAGAGCAACAAAGATGATTAGGGGACTGGAGGCTGAAACATATAAGGAACGGTTGCTGGAATTGGGTATGTCTAGTTTAATGAAGAGAAGGACGAGAGGGGACATGATAGCAGTCTTCCAATATCTCAGGGGTTGCCCCAAAGAGGAGGCATTCTCCAAAGCACCTGATGGCTGGACAAGAAGCAACGGATGGAAACTAATCATGGAGAGAAGCAACCTAGAACTAAGGAGAAACTTCCTGACAGTGAGAACAATTAACCAGTGGAACAGCCTGCCTCCAGGAGCGGAGAATGCTCCAATACTGGAAGTTTTTAAGAAGAGACTAGACAGCCATTTGTCCGAAATGGTATAAGGTTTCCTGCCTGAGCAAGGGGTTGGACTAGATGACCTCCAAGGTCCCTTCCAACTTTATTATTATTATATTATTAATTATTATTATTATTGAGAACGGAGCGTATTCGATATGCTCAACATTCAGTAGATGTGCAGTGCTTAAGATACGGAAGTGAAATGATGTTTTTGAAGCGTGGCATTGTACCTATAACATTTGCGGGCAGCCCTTTAAAGCAGCTGCATCTTTTCCTTTTGTCCGCAGCTGCAGCTTCAAAAGCTGCAGGTCAAAAGATTAATTTTAGCTTGGAGTAGGGTCTCCCCACAGCCTAGTCCACCAAACCAAGATGAAGCCATGACAGTGAGATCCCTTTTATATGTCCAGCACACCTAGGGCACAGCTGCCACCACACTTTCGCAGTTGCCATCTTCCCTTTTTCTAACCACACCCCTGCAAATACTGACCTGTTAGGTTAAGAATGAACTGAACACAGCAACAGAGATCACCGTTAACAAATAAGTACTTTTTTTTTTTTTCATATTATCTGGAGTGGTTTCCTTTCCCGTCATCTCACCTTTCCTGGCCAGGACTATTCCAGTCAGTCCTGAAACTGTGATCACCCCAATTTTGGGGAGAAATTCCGGAGGTGGATTCTTCAGGTAAACATACGCATCTTAAAAATAAGCAAAACAATTCACGGTTAGTTCTTGCTGGATTATCCCACCTCTTTATCTCGTCTGTTATTTTCATGGCCAGAGGTTGTAGTGGTTAGGTAGGGCTTGGGAAAACAAAAGCAAAGAGGACTCAATAATGGTCAGATAAGAGGCAGCTGAGCCCCCCCCCAAAAAAAATATGGGCAGGGCAAGCAGCTCAGAAGGGATCCTCTCAACTTCCTTAGGGACAAAGGAGACTGGCTGGCAAATTGTACTTTCAGGCATGCAAGAGCCTATTAATGTATCCTTACTGGTGGAATATTCAAAAGATTTTTAAGAGAAAGATAAAGTTTTACTCCGCAGTTATTTTTGTTGGGTATTATTGTAGATTTTGATGTTAAAGCAACTAATTTGATGTTGAATCTTATAACAGCTGCGAGATTATTGGTGGGGCAATATTGGAAAAAAAACTTATTGCCTACTTTGGAAGAATGGATACTTAAAGTGTCTAATCTAGCAGAAATGGCGAAAATCTCCGCCTACTTGAAGGACCATTCACAAGAAAGATATATTATGGCTTGGAGAAGATGGATTACATTCAGAAGAAATATGAAATTGAAAAGTATTATCTTGCTTTTGAGTAGATTTTAGATAATTATTAACGGTGTTAATTATATTATTATTTTTGTTTTAATTTGTTAATATTTATTTTGAGAAGGAGTTAAAGTGTGTTATGGCTTTGATTGATAGTATAGTTGGTTTATGTTAGTTAGATTATGTTTATTTCTTTTTTTACCCTGTAATTAGCTCTGGGAAGTGGGGGAGGGGTGGGGGGCTTATATTGCAATAAATTTATAAAAAATTTAAATAAAATGTATCCTTACTGTACATTAAATTTAAAGCTAGCATAGTTCTCGGCTTACAGCCATTCATTTTGTGACTGTTCAAAGTTAAATCACCATTGAAAAAAGGGACTTGTGACTGCTATTCACACGACCGTTGCAGCATCCTCAGGATCACGTGATCAAAACTGGGACACTTGGCCACTGGCACGTATTTACGATGGTTGCAGCGTCCTTGAGGTCACGTGATCCCGTTTTGTGACCTTCAGACAAGCAAAGTCAATGGGGAAGCCCGATTCAACTTTACAACCGGGTTACCAACTTAACTGCAGTGATCCACTTAACAACCTGTGGCAAGAAAGGTTGTAAAACGGGGCAAAACTTACTTAACAAATGTGGCAACGGAAATTTTGGGCTCCCGTGTGGTCATAAGCCGAGGACCACCTATATTTATGGGTAGGCCTCTTGTCTGGACTACCTTGCAAGGTTGACAGAAGTACAACCCCAAGCACAGGAAGGTGCAGAGTGCTCTACTGACACACCCACCTTTTCCAAACTGTAGCGAAGCAGTGACTCCGTTTTTGACGAAGAGGTAAGCGTCCTGTGGAAATAAACAAAAGATCATTGTTTTAAAAAATAATAATAATCCCACTGGCAAATGCGAAGGCAGCTTCAACAGAAGGAAGAGATGGCTGAAAAATAAAATACTCTTTGTTTTTTTATGCAGTATGTAAACCTATCCCAAGGGAAGTGATTTGTACTTGAAAGGCGATGCATACATGGGATGACAAACGGATGAGAGACAGTCTTCACATAAGGCTGATCTTGTATAGTTTATATTTTATCGGTTTGAGGCAAGTGGCAGCTTTCGTGGGATATCGGCACACGCAAACACAAATCGCTGCTCTCCCTTCTCATCCCACAGGTATCCATGGACAGAATGGGGTACACCAGAGATCCCTAACCTTTTGGGCACCAGGGACCAGTTCTGTGGAGAGAGGTTTTTCCACGCAACGAAGAATATGTGGTTTTGTGTGCTACTTGCATCCCACGGATGGGGCTTTGCTTATTTGTGATCACTGGTTGCTGCCATGCCGCGGCCGGTACTGGTCCATGGACCGAGAGTTGGGGACCCTTGGTGTAGACAATGTCATTCAACGCAGATGGGTTGAGATCACAGTTCCCTGAATTTCCAGAGCACAAAGTCAAAGATTTTTACGAAATCAAAAAACAAGCAGCCCAAAAAAACCTGCTAAGAATCTTTCCTGTTATTTTGGACATCAGAAGGCATATGCAGCATACGTGGTACCTATTTATTAGATTTATTCATACCACAATCCAAGCTCTCAGCAAATTGACCATATGGTAGTGAACAATACACACACATTCTCTCTCTCTCTCTCTAATCTCCACGCATTTGCAGGACAATTTCAGTTTTCATTATAATTTGCAAGGTTTTATTTATTTAGCGCAGTGGTTCTCAACCTTTTTAATGCCGCGACCCCTAACCGATCGTAAGTCAAGGACTACTCAACCGGTCGTAAGTCGAGGACTACTCAACTGGTACAGCACCGTTTGAAGAATGGGACTTTTGGCGGGCTCACCAGGGCAGAGACAGCCTGGACAATTCCTATTGGCTTTTGAAAGCCAATAGAATTAGACTCTATTCAAGAGAGTCTATTCTATTGGCTTTCAAAAGCCAATAGAATAAAAGGGAGTAGCACAGCTAAGGAAAAGGGGGGAAAAAATGGCGGACTGCGTTGTTTGGCGACCCCCATGAAATGGTCGTTCGACCCCAAATGGGGTCCCGACCCACAGGTTGAGAACCACTGATTTAGCGTATGAACTTTATACAAGTAAACATAGACAAACAACCCATGGAATTATACACAAAACTTCTACGGGGCGACAGCAGTGGCCTCATAATTGGATGTCCAATTCCATATGGAACTGTGATTGACATCAAGGATGATATTGAGTGTTATAATGCCCTTCCTCCAATTATTAAGTCAAGTACCAATCAGAATGTCTTCTCTCTATCCATAGAGCCACAGTTTGCAAGATAAGAATCTTATAATAAACATAATTTGGGGTTCACTCCACCAGATGCCATTACCCAACAAGCTCAGGATTATCACGATAATTAAGAGGACAAAAGGATAGGCATGAGGAAAAAAAAACAACCCACGGAAATGACTTATTTAAGAATGTCTCCACTCCAAAGGGAGAAACATCTTAAGTGCAAAAACCCAACAAGCTTGTAATTGTTGTGACCGAGAGATATTTGGTCCACATCTCCTGGTTGGTTTGATTCCCAACATGTTCCCCCCATTTCTTTAACAGGATTGTGACTGAGTCTTCTGAAATGTATTATTTCTGTTCCTAAATCAAGAATTTCGCTTGTGTTCTCACCTTGCAACCCTTTACGTAATAACTTGTCGTCTTTCTCACAGATGAAATCCTGGTCTGCAGCTGGCCGGGCTTTTCGTCAATGTACCGTGATTCCAGAGGTGGGGCACTGTAAATGGGAAGCTGCAAAAAAAAAGGAGGGGGAGATAGTGACCATAGGCTTGCCTGCGGAAATGAAAACCAACCCTCTACTCCATTATCTTATCAGTGGTATTTCTTTGCTCCCACTCAACAAGAATTGGCCATCAGGTTATTGACTAGAATGAAGGGGAGTGGTGCTCCACCATTCGTTGGCCATAGATGTTGCAATCAATGGCTCAAAGGAGTGCTCACATCTGCCTCTCGTCAAGGACAGGAATTAGGATCACACCTTAGGTCCCGTTATCATCCCCTGATTTATTGCTGATGTCTATACACAAGAGTCCAGTCAAGCACTAAAGGGTCAGCACTAAATAGATAAGAGTCAACGGAATTAAAGAGGGACTGGACTTGGATTGCTGGTGGGAATGTAACGCCTCTAGGCTGATTCCTCTCTTGACTCCGCCTCTCCTCCTATACGGTCTACTTAGTCATTGATCATCATAAGATGATCAAAGGCCTGGAGACCAAAAATGCGAAGAACGGCTACAGAACTTGGGTTTGGCTAGTCCAGTGGTTCTCAACCTGTGGGTCGGGACCCCATTTGGGGTCGAATGACCATTTCACGGGGGTCGCCAAACAATGCAGTCCGCCATTTTTTTCTCCTTTTCCTTAGCTATGCTACTCCCTTTTATTCTATTGGCTTTTGAAAGCCAATAGAATAGACTCTCTTGAATAGAGTCTAATTCTATTGACTTTCAAAAGCCAATAGGAATTGTCCAGGCTGTCTCTGCCCTGCTGAGCCCGCCAAAAGTCCCATTCTGCAAATGGTGCGGCACCAGTTGAGTAGTCCTTGACTTACGACCGGTTGGGGGTCGCGGCATTAAAAAGGTTAAGAACCACTGGGCTAGTCTAAAGAAAAGAAGAAATAGGGGAGACATGATAGAGTGTTTCAATATCTGAGGGGCTGCCACAAGGCAGAGGGGCTATATAATGATCCACGATGCATTTTTATTTGCCGTATGACAAAATAAATGATGCATAATCTTATTTTAACATAACTCAAAATTCCCATACTACGATAAAAGACTGCTTTCCTGAAATAGAACTTTCAGAGCAAAAGCTTCCCTGCACAAGCCGAAGCCTGCATTGATCTTACAAATCTTACCTGATGTACTTTAATCCGGTGGGATTTCTGTTCTCCTTCGGCTGCACCAAGTGCATGAGTGGAAGTCCATGCTAAAACTGTGGGAAAGGCTGCCCATTTGGTGACCTGCTGTCACAAGCAAAAGTCAAGATAAATCAAGGAACAACTTCAATATCTCCAGAAAAGCAGCTTCTGTGCTTCAACATTCACTCTGAAATCAAGAAAACTGCTGTGCCCACATCTCTCTTTGAGCTAGGAATGCTGGTTTATCCATGATTCATCATGAACTGGCCAGGGAATTGACTCATGTGTTGTTTCTCTGTCATATATATGGGTATATGCACTATTCTGTATGTATGTATGTATATAGGTATGTATTATGTATGTCATATTTATGTAGTGTATATTGAAGGTGGTGACCCTTTGAAAGCTGTATGCCAGTGGTCCCCAACGCCCAGTCTGTGGACCAGTACCGGACTGTGGCTTGCCAGCAACCAGGCCGCACAAACAAGCAAAGCCCCATCCACAAGATGCAGGCAGCACACAAAACCACGCCCCCTTCAGTCCGCGGAAAAACCTCTCTCCACGGAATCGGTCCCTGGTGCCCAAAAGGTTGGGGACCTCTGCTGTAAGCAATGAAATTTCATTTTAATGTATGTTAATTAGTGTACATTCAAAGTGACAATAAAGTTATTATTCTATTCTATTCTATTCTATTCTATTCTATTCTATTCCATTCCATTATTCTATTCTATTCTGTTCCGTTCATCTATTCTATTCTGTTCCATTCCATCTATTCCATTCTGTTCCGTTCCATTCCATCTATTCTGTTACATTCTATATTCTATTCCATTCCATTCTATGTTCTATTTTATTCTATTCTATTCCATTCCATTATTCTATTCTATTCTGTTCCGTTCCATCTATTCCATTCCATTCTGTTCCATTCCGTTCCGTTCCATCTATTCCATTACATTCTATATTCTATTCCATTACATTCTATGTTCTATTCCATTACATTCCATTATTCTATTCTATTCTGTTCCGTTCCATCTATTCTGTTCCATTCTGTTCCATTCCGTTCCATTCTATGTTCTATTCTATTCTATTCTATTCTATTCTATTCTATTCTATTCTATTCTATTCTATTCTATTCTATTCTATTCTATCCTTAAGGCAAACTGGGGAGAGTTTAAAAAACAAAAGGCAAACCACAAATGTAAAATGGGTGTAATCTAAATTTTTAAAAGCAATTTCCCCCCAATCTGGTGCGTACCTACTACGGTAGCCCCTTCACTATCTGAGCTGTACCGAATATATTGGAGAAAACGAAGATATTTAAAACACTGTTGGTTTTTGTTGAAAGGGGATGATATGAACAACGATGTGAATGCTTGAACAGCAAATTCCTCACTTGATTTTTTTTTTTAAAAAAATTGCTCACTATACACAATTTTGCACAGTAGCTGGGGAATTCTGAGAGCTGAAGTCGCACAGTTTAAGATAAAGTGGCCACGGTTGAAAAAAACTGGTGTAAGGGGTTTCCAGTATCAATGTGATTTTGCTAGCCTCACATTGTTCCCTAACCTGGTTATCTCCCAACCATGCTCCACTACAACTCCCATGGTCAACAGCATCAGCTTGGGGAAGATGGGATGCATAATCAGATGGGTGAAGGATGCAGAGTGTGGTTCTTTTTAAGGAGAGGTGGATGGCCAAGCATCTCAAAAACATCCCAAGGATATTAGGTTACACCTGGGGGCAGCATCAGTGGGATTTCACAACGGAAGGGCATTCTGCAAATGCTCTGCTGCCCAGCATCTTCAGGAATGCCCAAAAGGTCCACCTTTCCATATTGAAAAGGAGAGGCAGGAACAAAAATTAGCAATGGGAAGGGATGCAAAGGAACAAGCTTTGCCCATCCTTCCTCATTCATTGCCCTGCTCCTCTTATGTCTTTCACATCCCCACATTCTGTCTCCTCCGAGCAAGGGCATAGGATAAATCACTCTGCACATGCTCAGGAGTCCACTCGCCTTTGCCACTCTTCCTCCCCTTTGAGACCTCTTTTGCAGGACAAAGTTCCAATTTTGTGGCTGGCGGAACACAAGAGCAAAGATCAGAAAGGAGCCCTGCTGGTTGACACTCAAGAGACCCCGCAGGGAAAGGGAATTCTGCACATGCTCAGGCACCCTTTGCAGCCCAGAGCCACTCTTTTCAGTGGAAAAGCAGGAAAGGGCTCCCCTATCGGTGGGAGGCCCCGTCTTGGATCCCGAAACGAAGGAAGGAAGGAAGGGAAAAAAAGGAGGGTTCCAGCAGCCTCGAAAGTCGCCGGAATCGGAGACCGGAGAGGCGCGACGGAGCCACTCACCTTGGCCGCCATTTTGGCTCCACCGCTTCGCGTGGGAGGCGCCCAACCTGGAAGAGGGCGGAGCGGTAGGAAAGCTGGCCTAGGATTGGCGGAGAGGAGAAGTGGCGTCACAGTGACGTCACCCGGTGTTTTCCCATTCCGGAGCCTTAGCGGCGGAGGTTCCCGTGCGGGACTACAGCTCCCATGATCCCCCAAGAGCATGGTTCAACTACTGTAGGGAGGAAAAGAAACGAGAAGGGAGTTTATGGGGTTCCCCGAGGATGGACGCTCTTTTTTAATTGGAGGGCTAAAACAGTGTTTTTTTTCAGGCTTGGCAACTTTAAGAGGCGTGGACTCCAATTCCCAGAATTCCCCAGCCAGCGCTGGTTGGGGAATTCTGGGAGTTTGACTCCACGCCTCTTAAAGTTGTCAAGATTGAAATGTACTGGGCCAAAATAAAGTTCCAACCCGTGGTATTTGGGATGAGAGGGAATAGGGGTTTCTGGGTTTCTTAGTCTTGTTAGACTACAGCTCCCATCATGCTTGTACAAGTAATGAATGCTGTAGTCCAGTGTTTCTTTAAAGGGGGTCCCAGGTTTGGGGGACAGGAGGGAGGAGGGGATTTTAGGGGTCCACGAAATCATTGTTTTGCTGCGTATGGAAAATATTGGCAAAAAAAGTAAAGCCACATCAGTCTTCTTACAATTATCTGTATTCAGTAAAAAAAAATTTTCTTCAGGAACAATATTTTATTTAGGGAAATATTTCCAAAACGTTATCAATGTTAATTTTTAATATGGGAAATACAGAATAATCATTCTAATACATGCTAAGATAGAGCAAAAGGTTTAAGAATCACTGCCGTAGTCGTGAATCTGGGGATCTCAACTGAAACTACGTGACAGGCAGAAATCCAACAGGGGCAGACCTTGAGCTGCCTTAGTGATGTAAAGAAAGAAGGAAGGGTTCGGAAGAGGAAACAGATTTCCCAGCGTGCACAGGTAGTACAGACTTACAACAGTTCATTTAGTGGCCGTTCAAAGTCACAACGGCGCCGGAATAAGTGACTTATGACCAGCTTTCACACTTATTACATTGCCGCATCCCCGTGGTCACATGATCAAAATTCAGATGGTTGGCAATTGACTCATGACGGTTGCAGTGTCCCAAGGTCTCGTGATCCCTTTTGCGAGCTTCTGACAAGCAAGTCAGTGAGGAACACAGATTCACTTAACAACAGTTTGACTAATTTAACAACTGTTGCAAGAAAGGTCGTAAAATGAGGCAAACTCACTTAATACATTTCATTTAGCAGCATATATTTTGGGCTCAACTGTGGCCGTAAGTGAAGCCTTACCTGTACTCGCCCGTTTTCTAAACCACACTTCAGATCGCCCCTTTTAATGCAGATTGACAGGGATTGTTCATCTTATTAAAGACAAGCTTAAGAAGCAAGCATCCACACATCCCACTCTGAACGGCGTGAGTCACTTAACAACTACAATGATTTGCTTTACAACCGTGGCCCAAAAATGGTTGTAAAACTGGGCACGGCTTGTTTAACAATCGCCTTGCTTAACAATGGAAATTCTGACCTCTTTGTGATTGCGAGTCAAGGAGTATCCGTAATGGTTTAGCATCTGTATTATTTTAATGTTCCTATTGTATTTCTTATAGTCCAGGCCATGGTTTTCCCAGTTGCAATGTATGGCTGTGAAAGTTGGACCATAAGAAAGGGTGAGTGCCAAAGAATTGAGACCTGTGAACTATGGTGCTAGAGAAGACTCCTATGAGTCCCCTGGACTGCAAAGCGATCAAACCGGTCAGTCCTGACTGCTCTTTAGAAGGCCAGATCCTGAAGTTGAAACTCAAGTACTTTGGCCACCTAATGAGAAGGAAGGACTCACTGGAGAAGAGCCTAATGCTGGGAAAGATGGAGGGCAAGAGAAGAAGGGGACGACAGAGGATGAGGTGGCTGGATGGAGTCACTGAAGCAGTAGGTGTGAGCTTAAATGGACTCCAAAAAGATGCAAGAGGACAGGAAGGCCTGGAGCAGGGGTAGGCAACCTTGGCTCTTTTATGACTTGTGGACTTCAACTCCCAGAATTCTTGAGCCAGCCATGCTGAGGGAAAAGGGAGAGGTTTCCAAGCTGAGCCAGGCTGGCTCAGGAATTCTGGGAGTTGAAGTCCATGAGTCATAAAAGAGCCAAGGTTGCCTACCCCTGGCCTGGAGGAACGTTGTCCATGGGGTCGCGATGGGTCGGACATGACTTTGCAACTAACAAGAACAAATTATATTTCTGAATCATTCTGAGTGGAGATGAAAAGCCCGTCTACCTTCCAGCAACTGATGAAGCTAAAATGCAGGCGGTATATAAGTCAGTCTCTTAATTTTCTCGGCTGGGCTTCTTCTATGCGGTCTTACCTGGGACCTGAATTATCTGCAGGATATGTGAACCAAGATGGGATGTCAGGTGCTATGGTGTAGTTGATGCTCTTCTGGGTTTGATATACATTGCATATCTGGGAACAAGTCCATCCTAGAGTGATACCCTTACTTTTCAGTTGGCAAGGATCATGAAGGAGGCTGCAAAGGTCGTAACTGTGAAAAACGGTCCTAAGTCCCTTTTTTTCCAGCGACGTCATAACTTTGAACGGTCACTAAGTGATCTGGTCTAAGTTGGAGGACTACTTGTAAGTCGAGGACCATTGCAAAGTCTCAGGTCATGTGATTGCTATTTACAAACTTCCTAGCTGGCTTTGGACAAACAAAGTCAATGGGGCAAACTGGGTTCACTTAATGACTGTATGATTCATTTAACAACTGCAATTATTTGCTTATCAACCATGGCAAAACAGGTTGTAAAATTGGGCGTGACTCCCTTAACAATTGCCTTGTTTAGTGACAGAAATTCTGGTCCTGGTTGTGATCCTAAGTTGAGGACCCCCTACCGTGCTTGACCAATGGGCTGTAGGAATGAAGCTTCCGTTGTCTTCTTCAAGGATCATCCAGTGCTAAGAAAGGAAGGAAGGAAGAATCTTTGGAATGCAGAGAATTCCGTTTATTGAAGTTCAATGTACAACTGAAGTTTTACAACTTTTCCCAAAACAAAAAGTTAACTTTCAATTTAGGAAGAATAAATGTCCTTTTTCAATAATATACAGTCTCTCTATATATATTTTTAAATAAGTTAATATCTTTGAAAAAAGAGCAATATGTTCCTTTTATAATGTTGCAGTGCAACTTACAACTTACACGTCTGTGCAATGTACCATGAGGTATATGCCCAGTGAAAAACACACAGTGAATTTTATTTCCATTCATAAGTTCTCATGGTCCATTCATAAATTCTCATGGTCCATTCATAAATTCTCATTGTAGACACACAAAAAGTTTAACATTAATCTGTGGTAGAAAAAAAGAAAAGAAATGCAGCCAAGTACACACTAAAAAAAAATATATTACCTTTTCCCCCTAAAAACAAACAAAACAAAACGGAAGGAACATTCATTGCTTCTACAAATTGGTGATTGCTTCTTGACATAGAGCGAGGATAATTAAAAAAGATCTTTGTGAACTTGGAAAATGTAACCAAACACAGAACAATCTGAATTATCCAGAGGTTGAAATTTAATTTTGGTGGTCTTGATACTGCAATCCCATAGACGCTTACCTATGGAAACAAGCTCCCATTGAGATCAATGGGGATGGGCTTTAAAATAGACAAAGGATGGTTTACGCTGTCCCCATTTTCAGCGGAGCTGTGGACAGAGCAGATGTTTTCAAACAACAAGGGAAAATAAAAGGTGTAATGGGATTGGGTTGATTTTCCCCTGGTTTATAACGATCCCTTTTTCAATTCTCTTTTAGAACTTTTGAAGGAAAACAGAGAAGAGGGCTGAAGTCAAGGTCACCATTACAGATGTCCCTTCCCTGAACGCTTTCCTTCGGTTCTTCCAGTTTATGAGGAAAAAACTACATCCAATGGGGAAAATTTTTTTCTCTCTCTATGAATAACATATTTATCCATGACAAAAGACTTAGAAATAAACAAACATATCCTTAATAACAGTGCTGCCTCATGTTCAGAGGGCTGAAATCAAGGCCACCATTACAGATGTCCCTTCCCTGAACGCTTTCCTTCGGTTCTTCCAGTTTATGAGGAAAAAACTACATCCAATGGGGAAAATTTTCTCTCTCTCTATGAATAACGTATTTATCCATGACAAAAGACTTAGAAATAAACAAACATATCCTTAATAACAGTGCTGCCTCATGTTCAGAGGGCTGAAATCAAGGCCACCATTACAGATGTCCCTTCCCTGAACGCTTTCCTTCGGTTCTTCCAGTTTATGAGGAAAAAACTACATCCAATGGGGAAAATTTTCTCTCTCTCTATGAATAACGTATTTATCCATGACAAAAGACTTAGAAATAAACAAACATATCCTTAATAACAGTGCTGCCTCATGTTCAGAAGACATTGGTTCTCCATTTTTTTTTTCTTTTAAAATACAAGGCGCTCAGGAAGGTTAAATTGTTGTTTGAAAACAGTCCAAGGGGAGGTTGGCTAGCCTTAAAGCCTCCTATTGCTACGGAAATTGTAAGAATGTTCATTATTTACAAAAGAAAAACCGTGGAGCTCTCTTAGCACAGCCAAAAAGAGACATTAGCATTAGCCAAAGATTTCTGCCTCAAGGACATTTATCTGGTCTTTGACTGGTAGGAAATCAGTTATTATTTTAGAGAGGTTTGAAGGTGGTGGAAAAAAAAACATGCATTGTTTTTCTTTTCTTTTTTCCATTCTGTGGTTTGGAAAATGTTAAATGTCATATGTACTGTGTATACCCAAGGAAGACAACCTTACATTTAATACAACCCACGTTTGAACCAAAAACGCTCTTCTTCCATTACCACACAATTCAATTTAAAAACATTTTGAATAATTGACAGAGTGGAGACTCTATTCTTGAACGTACTGTTAAATACAAATTCCTTTCCCTTATCTTGTTCTTGCAAGCCTAATTCCTTACTTTTGGCTTGAGTTAAGCCATGGTTTGCTGGGACATCCAAGCTAAGAAGAAGCAATGGTTTGAGACAGCCT